CTCCCTCCCTCCCCGTGGGTGTTTTTGCGCTTCTGGTGCTGCAGCCAAAGACTTTAAGAAGCAACGAACGATTCTTCCGAATCGGCCTCTAAATGGACTCCAAAATGGCTTGTGCTGCAGAACATGCGGTGACAACACAGCAGCTTGCAGCCTGAGGATAACATTGGATGATTATCAATTTAATGAACCTCGCAAAAACTGCCGAAGCCGGGCTGTCTGCAACGTGCTGCATAGATTGCGATCCGTAGCTGTTTTCATCGTTTGCGCGGCAAGTGCCGCATCTTGCACGCCATCCGGCTACAAGTGCCGCTGAAACAGCTGCCTGGCGTTGTGCTTCTCTGCTTCTCACACTGCTCTTTCAATTCGTTCTGCGTTCCTTTACATCGTACTGTAGCACAGACTGCGCGACGAAACTGGCTACATCGAGCTGCTTCGCTGCAGCACCCGAAGTCTCACGTGAGATCAATTGCTACCCAAGCTTCAATGTCGGCTCAGGAATCTGCAGTCAACTCCAGCAGAAACGAACTGACACTAGGACCAAGGGTTGCCCGTAACTGACACAGTCAGTGCTGAAGGCCGGGACGAGCAAGGGATGATTAGAAGTGGAAGATTCTCCAAACAACCAGACAAATTCACTACGAGTGCATCGCGAGAAACGCCAAACGAGCAAAAGCTGTGAGACGGGTGGTGGGCAGTCACCGAGCGTGATGGGGTGGATAGTAGAGACGGGACCGGGGGTTAATGTTTGAAATAATCTCGAGACAGAGACTTCCAGTCCAGGTGTGCAGGACCTTGAAAGTTTGCGAGCGACAAAGCCAAGACCACTTAACATTATTTGAGGCCACTGTGGCAGAAGTGTTCCTCAAGGCCCCTTGCAAGTCAGTTCACAAGTCCATATTCTCTGTATACCTTCTCTATCGGCCAGGTGGATGCTCAGGAGGATAGTCAATGCGAGGACGTATCCATGTCCATCAATGAGGCCCAGCTGCTTGTGGCTGCGCCCGCGGTCTACGAAACGCACTAGCATGCATGGCAATCGTTCATGTCAGGACTTTGCAACGCGGGTGGATTGCGTTTCATCCCCAGCTTGAATCCATTGAATTCTGCAAGTTTTGCACCTCGTGAGCGACAGTTTCAAGCTTCGGGCTGCAGGTGCGTGAGATTGAAGACATGCTACCCGAGCCGTGCAAAACAAGGCGACACCAGCTCGTGACACGTAGCTAGCAAGCACGCTTTCAGATGGAAGCGGTGCTGCAAGCCCTCTTTTTGCACAGGGCCTACGGTGACTGGATGATCTGGATGGTGCTTGCCCAATAGACCTCGGGGCCTCGACAGTCTGCAAAACCTGAGCGATGCTCTCTTCGCAAAGGTCCATCGTGCCTGGTTGGATGATCCCTCTTTGACGGACCTGAACTTTGGCAACATGCAGCTCATCAAAGTTGAAGAAAGCTTCGGACTTCTGAGCCAGACCTCGTAAAGTATGGACTCGCTCGGAGGCACATGCCGCCGCCTCACATCGAGAGACGCATTGCTCCCAAGCTGATGGAAGCTATGGCAAGGCCACATCCGAGAGAGAGAGAGAGAGAGAGAGAGAGTTCGTTTGCGGAAGCCGAGGGTGGGGGACCATGGGAGATTGACTTGTGCGGAATAACGGTGTCAGTCCAAGAGCAATGCGGGATCATGAGATGATTTATGCGCCGGTGCTTGGTGGGTTCGGACAGCCGTACCTGTTGCATGTCCCTCATCCGTCCAAAGGGATGGATGTGCCCGCGGAGCGAGGTGACTGCTTCCGCTTCAAGCCCCCAGCCCCACCAGCGAAGCACGCCAAAGTAAAGCAAGCTGAAGAAGAGCGAAAGACAGACTTTGCTTGGGGCCGACAGAAAGTAATCGTGCAGCTTGAGAGAGCTGTAGTTACATAGGTAGTTTGCGCGACGCAGGAACACGCACCTGGAGAAGCTGACGCTTTCCAACTCCAACTTGCTCAAGGACTGCTTGAAGATTCGTGAGCAAGAAACGGTCCGGAACCGGTGTTTTTTTTTTTTGTTGTTGCTGCTTTTTTGCTATTGCCCCGTACGCAAAGAAAGACC